AGAAGGGGTAGAAGAAGAGGATGGAACATTAAAAGGGCTCCGAGGATGTGAAACTGAGTGCATACCTGGAACGTTAGTAGCAGTCCACTTCTGCTTTTCTTTTCTAGACCATCTAATTCCATGACGATTTCTGTAATGATCCCGAGACGAAGATCTAAAGATTCTTCCCTTCGGCTGTGTAGTTTCATAAAAGGATGTAGTTGAGATACCTACGCAACACTGAGAGTGACGAGATCCCTTCTTAACAGGTCCTACACCAGCCGCGGCAGCCGAGATATTCATCCATCTCTTCTTCTCTGGCAAGTTCCAAAAAGTTACAAAGGTGTCGTTAATACGACGACTCTGCAAATTGCTAACTTCTGTAGAGATAGATGGGGTGGGCTGGGCTGGGCTTGGAGTTAATAAAAGAAACTGAAATCATGTTATTGGGCCCTCGCAAAACCTTTCTGTTCAGATTGCTCACTTGTAGCCCATTTCGTAACTTAGCAACCATGGGCAAAATGTGTGGGTTGGGCTTGTTCTGGAAAGAAACAGACAATTGGTTGCTAGGCCCCCACTGAACAGCCCTCTTCATCTCATGTGGGCCGTGATGAACTAACAGCCCATTTGTCTTATTAGGCCAAGAGCCCGCTTCAAATCCACGCTTAGGCCCAACATAAGCCATTGCATAAATATCTCCTTTAATGCCAGGATCTCTGCCACGTGGTTGGTAACCGTTATCGCCGTCATTACGAGAGGACGATAGGTGCTGATTAAAGGCGTGATTGACACGACTCTTGAATCTACCTCCTCGACGCGCTTCTGGCGCGTGGGTAGACAGTCGCCTCTATCCTTTAAGGCCTTGATGGGTCTGTGCATTCCGACAGCTTCCTTCAGTGATCATTGTAGCAGCCGAGAGTGTGGACTCTCCCCAGTGCCATAGTAGGACTTCAGAAGAATGCGAGGTGTGATTTCCATCAAATTGACCCTGAGAGCCACTCGTTGGTCCTCAACAAAAACATACTCCAGCATCACTTTTCCGGCAGAAACATAGAGGAGGATTCTCTCTCCACTCGCTGAAATGTCAGCTTCTACACCTTGAAATCCACCACATAAGTTCTCAATTGCTTCGAATAACTTGTTGCACCATAGATGGAGGGGCAAACCAAACAACATCACCCTTCGTATTTCTCAATCTTTCACTGCAGAACATCCAACCGCGAAGTACCAGATGTCGATGGATAATAAGGCGTTGCCCCATCTCTTCCTCCCTTCATCCAAAACCCTCAATGCCTCAATCTCCGATGGAAACCTGAAAAAGAGTAAGTCGTCGGGTAAAGAAGAATCTTTCACCCCACTCAAAACCTTCCAAGTTTTTGTCGCCCACACCTCAATCCCTTAAATACACCCCACATCTCTGTCAAAGCAGCCTACCAGACATGATCGCAAAGCAAATTCTAGTTCCTTGATACTTTGATGATCAACCCTAAAAACCAAATCATTATCTATGGAGCAACTTTTCATTTGTCCATGGAGGTTGAGGCGTGGTGAGGTCGTGACACTAAGATAGGATCGATGCATATCACGATTCCCTACCAAAAAGCCGAAAATCCAACAGCTAAAAACTCGAACATAAATGGCAGACGCAGGAGTGAAAGACTCCAACGTCAAAAAAAGAAGAGAGAGAAGAGAGAAAAGTCAAACATAGTCAACATATAGTCAACTCATGACTCTTGATTTTACATAACCTTCAACATCACACTAACTCCCACTAAGACAATTTACTACCCACTAACATATATGCTAAATTCACACATGCATCATGGGTACAAAAATACTTGAAAATACTAAATACTAAAATCAAATTTATTTTCAACAAAGGTCACCTTGTAAACTAACCAAACTTCTGTACAACCACTTAATATAAAATGAATTCAAGCACAAAATAAACTCAATCAATCTGTTAAAGTTGAGATTTTGGAGTAACAGTCAAGCCCTTTCCCTTTCTCTGATAACAAGATAAACTTTGGAAAGTAACACGCTCCCAACAGGTAAACTAAATGGTAAGATTAAAACACGAATTGCAAGTAATCATCCAGAATCAGCACAGGTCATTTGAAAGTAGATGGTAAAAAAAAAAATATTTGATGGGACCCAAAATAACAAGATATAATCAGAAAACTGTTTGGAAGCATCATGCCCAACAATTGAAGAGGTGAACATTCCTCTCACAGATGTTTTTTACCTATTTGACCACTACCCAGAACACATAAATCTGAGCTGTGAGTAGGCAATAGTCCTTGCATCCCCTGCACAACCTTGCACTCCAATAATGTAGAATGTGATGTTTTTCGACAGCATGTGCTCAAATGTTACAGCTCTCAAAGTCATGTGTCTTTAAACCTCTTATATCTTTAACCTACATTTTCCTTTCCCTGCTCTAACAAATTCATAACATTAAGTACAGAGCAAAAATGCATTGTTGAGGGTGTTTTATGGTCTCGAGTTGTTTATCTCTAATTTCCTTTAACAAATAAGAAGTTGAACTTAGTATTAGGTCTCTCTCTCTCTCTCTCTCTCTCTTCACAAATTTCTCTCTATATGCTCTCTTGCTTAGATTCCACAAAATGGTGTCGATGAAAGCTTGACCACACGATAATTTGTCCTTCCTCCTTTTTCTTATTCCTTATCATAGAAAATTTCATCACTGTTTAGCTAGGAAGCACGAACGATGTTGGCTATCTATTCTAAAAGCTTAAGCTTTAAAAGAGAGTGTAACTTTAATGTTTAAATCCTCTAGCACGTCCCCTCATGTGTCACATTCTTTTGTTCCAGCACGAGTTTCAGTTTTAATTATAAGAGCAACAATAAGGTTTGAACTCGTGATCTTACTACTCCGATAGTCCGATACCATGTTGACCACCATCTATTCAAAAAGTTTAAACTATTAGAGAGTTTAACTTCAATATTTAAATCCTGTACCAGACACTTTTCCTAGGAGTGACTTGGTGGTATCAGAGAATCATAACACGCGGACATGCATGGGAGACGGCCTTGGCACTAGTCCGACATAGTCAGAAACATCCTAGAATTTGAAATTTCCTCTTTTCTTGTTGGATGCAATGGGTACACATTTCAGAAGCATTTTATTATTTATGGTGGGTGGTGCTTAGGTGGTTGTGCAGCATTGCATTACTGGCTGGTTTTTGTTTTGTGATAATCAGATGTTTCTTTTTGTTTTTAGTTTGTACTACTGAATGCCTCTTGATTATTCTTCTTACATTCTAGTACATCACCACAGTGTCTTCAGCAATTAGTCAGTTTATGCATATCTAAAAGTACATCATTCATCATTTGGATGCGTTGTACATTGAAGCACACTTCAGGATGCTGCAGTGAAAGGCCTTATATATAGGCTTTCGAATTCTATTCATACTGCTGTTTCTTCTGATGTTTTCTTGGTATCGTACATAACTAAAGCAGATTTAATTTGTTTTTCAAGTTTGATGGTTTGTTTCTGGCAGAGAGGTTTAATCACAGGATACTGCAAGGCTTGTGTAGAGACAAGTCAATTCCTTAGTTATTTTATTGTAAATAAACAATGAGATGGTGCCAGGTTTGATGACACTAATCAGGTTGTCCTTCAGTATTTGCAAACTTTAAGAATCCATGGTGACAAGGATCAGCGGGTGTGGCAGTCTAAAAACTTTTGTTTTAAATCAGCTTGGGAGGCTTCGAGAGTAGCAGGTCCAGTGGTGGAAGGGGCAGCCTTGTGTTGGAATGGAGGGAGGGAGATGGTCTACACTTGCTGTGTTAGTTCTGCAGAATGGGATTCTTACTCATTCTAATCTCCAGAGAAGAGGTATTCCTTTGGCATCTAGGTGTCAATTGTGTTTCAGACAGGTTGAGAGTGTGGATCATGTTTTTTGCCGCTATGATTTCACTTCGGCAGTGTGGAGAGGCTTGGATGATATATGCAAATGGAACCTGCAAAGAAAGGACACAATTCATAGCTTGGTACAGATATTCACTCAGTTTACAGGAAAGGGGAAGATGTTCAGAATTCTATTTACAGCTACATTGTACTATGTATGGTCTGAAAGAAATAGTAGTTTACATGGTAGTGGGCTTTGGGAACCTAGTATGGTGGCCAAGACTGTACTGTGGGAAGTCATGGATATCTTGGGGGTATGCCACCAAGATATCATGGTATGATAGGTTTCTATTTTCTTTTTGGCAAGGCCCTTCTTTCAGGGTTCTTGCTTGTGCAGTAAGGGTATGCCCTTACTTATTGCCTTGTACTATATTGTTCATATTTTTATGAAATTTTTTCTTCATTTAGGGAAAAAAAAAACCTGAAAGGAAAGAGTTGGGATGGTTTTAGCACACCTGATTGTAACTGCAATTGAGTGGTACAAACTCTTAAAATGGTATACACTACAAATTCAAAATTAATCCTAATGGGATGCTATGTAAAAATTTTAATTGTTTGCATCACAAAAGAAGGTATTTGAATATTCTGAAAATGCTATAACCCAAGTGAAAATCCCTGTAACCCATTGTTTTAACGTTCAGATGCCCCTTCTGTCTTGATTGTCATTAAACTGCCAACACAAGGAAAATTTTATCTTTTATCTTCAGTTGATTTGTGGAAATAAATCTCCTTGCGTCCAATGGTTCTCTGTTATTTTCAAAGAAAATGTTCATTGGACATTTTTCAGGAAACAAACACAAACTAAGTGGATCAGTAGACAGCTATTTTTTTTACTTGTAAGCATATCCAGATATTTCCACTTCAGAAAAAAATAATGACAATAATAAAAAAAAGCAATTTAGAAATAAATTAATCAACAACAAAAAGGAATGAAAAGCAGAATCTGAAAGAGCAAGATGTTAGTGGAATGCAGATAAAAGATCATTCCATTTCAAAAGAAGACCAACTCCACTCTAATGATATGCTTCTGTATTTGAGCATATATACAAGTATAGATATATGTATATGCATACACTAACACTAGTACCTTTATCCTTTTGGCTTCTGCAGCAAAACCCAAAGCAGCAGATAGCAGCCCTAGAAACCCCACAACTGTGCAAACTACTAAAAACTTTTTCTCCATCCCCCTTTTTTCCTCTTTCCCTCTCTCTATCTCCCTCCTCTCTCTCTCTCTGTCTCTCTAAAACTATGGCTCGTGTTCCATGTAGCATGGGAACTTGAATGACTTATTTATGATGGGAGAGAGTGTATGGCTGAAGAAAAGGGAAAGTTTATGAACTTAAATGGACATAAAAAAATAAAAATAAAAAAATAAAAAAAAAGAACTGAATTACTGTTGCCCGAAGCCAAACCTTTAGAAAAATAGTTTCAGATTTTAAATTTATTTTTTTTCTCGAAAGGTAAATGATTGAATAGAAAAATAAGAATATACAAAGTTGGGCCAAATAAGCCCAACACAAAAGAGGGCATATCCGACAAAACAATTACAAGCCACAAAGCCCAGCCCAAATAGAGGATTAAAGACACTCGTAGTCTAGAAAGCCCAAGACTAATTGTGTCTTCGCCCTCAATCAGATCGGATGCGATAGACACAGGCAATCATCCCTCGATTATTCAGTCCAGAGGCTCAGCCGGTGGTCCAATGAAGGATTCGGGGAGATCCCAGTCGAGCTTGATCCTACATGCTGAAGAGGAGTCTCGTACCGATCAAGTAAGTAACCTTTGTCTCACCATTTTAGTAGTTTACATCATAATCCTTATTTCAGAACCTCGCTGACCTTTGAAGGCTCTGTCCAAATCCGGTTGACCACTGTGGAAATCATGAGCTTATGGACTAAATTAATCAAACTCCGGTTCAACCAGTGTTGTGAAGCCTAGCCCACCAAATCATTCCACGATGATGGATGAATGTTAAATTAGCACCGATCCTGTAGAGAAGTCCATATTGGGCGAGTGAACGAGCATTCAAAAAACATATAATTATGAGATTCATCCAACTCTGGCATAAGTGACACGGCAATGAATCAACAACAATCTACGCACTTCTGCAATCACTGGTTGGCAGTCTACTCTGCATTACTAACTAGAGGGTGAACTTACACCGTGGGATTGAGACGGAGTTCCAAATGAGGTGGTGCCAAACTTTCAGTTGTAAATGTGGTGAAAGCTAAAAAAAATGGTATGGCTCAGCGAGAAGATACCATTGGGGGAGGGAATCCAGGCTGTCGCATCTGTAAAAGCGCTAGGAGGATCAATCAGTGAAAGCTCAGGGAAGTGCAGATAGAAAGCTTCTGTGCCGGCCGAATTGTGATGTTCCTCACTTTTTCGATTTTCGGGGCTTTTTTTGCATTTATGTGTTTATTTTCTCTACTGTGATTATTTATATTATATATCATCTGTACATTTCATGGGAGATAGTAGTATAGTCTTTGTCGTGGTAATGGCATATAAGAAATTTAGAGATGATGGGAGGTTGTATTAGTCATTTTGCTTGGTCACACTTTGACCATTTGAGAGCTTGCCACCTAAGGGCACACTTGGCTACACGTTAGGAATGTGTGTGGCATACTTTTGCATGACATTTGGAGTACTAAGAGCATCTGCACCAACTCTTCAAATTTTAACTCTTTAAAAACGCTATATTAATTTTTTTAAGAGACACATCAACAATTCAAAAAGTCACGTCAACAGTTTTCGCTCTCCAAAAACATACACTCCATCAGGCTCTCCGAATTTTCACTCTCCAAAAATAATAATAAAAAAAAATTAAAATTTTTTTTTTTTTAACTTCTCCTAAACGGCTATATTTTTAAAAATTGAATTTTTAATGGCTATATTTGTAACGGTTATATTTTCTCAACGGCAATATTTTTTAATTAAACAATATTTTTAGAAATTATTAAAAAAAACTACGATTGATATTAGAACTTGAAACAATACATTATCCATTATGGATTAAAAAAAAAAAATTAAACAACACAATTAAAAATAACTTAAACAGTACAATATCCTAAATTGGAATAAGAAAATTAATAGACCAAAGATTACAAAATCCTATGGGAACTTTGGGGCGGACCGTGAATTCAAAGATGCCAATATCTCATTTTGTCATGCAATAATCCAAGTTTTTCCCGCTTCTGTTGGTGCCGAATTTGGATTTGTTAACATGAGTTCCTTCCCTTCAAGTCTCTGTTTCTGTAGAATCTCTAACTGCCTTGTTTTCTCTTTCTCCATTTTTCTTACCTCTCGTGCCACTTGGGCATCCTGCATTTTCTCCTGATGACTCTCAAAACAGGTGGTGATATTATTAAATTTCGAAACGAATGAAGTTTGCAATTCATTCGTTGAATTAATTTTTGCTCGATGTTGCTTCGCCGCTTTTCTTCCTGCTGGTCTTTGTAGTTGATATTCTTCCACACTGGGTGAATCATTTTCCCCTATGTGTGGTGATTCTTCAGTTGAAGCTCCATCTGTCGTGGCTGCATGACTTGACGGAGTAGATGGTAATGAGTGCCCAACAGACTCATTACTGTCAAACTCAAATTCACGCCACTTCTTCGGCTCTTTTTTCTTTTTTCCTTTTCCTACTTATTCGGCACAATGTGAATTCTATTTATTGTTATGCTTCAAAATCTCCTAGCAACTTTCTAACTTAAATTCACCACCTGTTTGACTACAAAACAGGTCTTTAGTTGCTATCTTCTACACGAAAAATTAACAAAAAATTAAAAACTGACTATTTAAAATATTTACGAGTTATATTTAAATAATAAAATAACTCACCATATTATCAGTGCTGAAGCCGCTAGGACGATTCATTTCTATGGTAGTTATGCAGCCGGAAAATTTATTGATTTTTTGTTGGATCACCGACCAACAATTCATCAAACCTTCATCATTTTGCTCAGTTGGAACACCAATATGTTGTTTAAATTGTTCCAGAATTCGCTCCCATAGCTTCTTCTTACTTTGGTCTGCCCCCGTAATCGCATCAAAGGTAATAGACAACCACGCCCAACATAGAGCTTCATCTTCAGCCTTGGTCCAATTATTATGTCGGATAGCCGGTTGTTTTGACGGGAGTTTTGAGTTACTTGATTGTGGAACACTAGTACCACAATATTGATGAGAAGTTTGGGATGGTTGATAAGAAGGTTGGGATGGTTGATGAGAAGAAAATTGAGAATCTCCTCTATAATAATTGATATTCTCTTCAGGAAATGGCAAAAACTCATCGTTTGATGGGTTGAATTGGGTGTTGTAATAATATGGATGTCGAGGATCCATGGAATCGAAATGACTTTGAAAATAATAGCTAAGATTGAGAAAATAGAAGAAGAAATAAGTTGAATGGTAGATAATAGAGATGTGATGAGTGATGGTAGGAGTTAGGGTATTTATAGAGATTTTAAAAATTTTAATTTAATTTTTTTTTTTTTTGAATAAAGTTAAAAAATTTTGAATTTTTAAACTTTTTTTTAAAATTATAGCTGTTCAAGCACTGTTTGGTACTGTAGAAACAGTGCCTTAACAGCTAAATACACTATTTGGCCTACACATTTAAAATTTAAAACAAAACATTTAAAAAAAAAAACCAAATTTTAAGGGAAAAAACAAAAAAAAAAAAAAAAAAAAGGTTTTTTAATTTATTTTTGGCCCAAAATTTTTTTTTTTTTTTGGACAAACAATGCCTAAACAATATATTTTTTATTTAATGAATTTTATTTTATTTTTTTCCCAAAAAAAATAGCTCTAAAAAACCTATTTTTAGGTTGTACTCTACCGTTGCAAGAAAAGACAAAAAACAGAGGCACTGTTTGGCTACTGTATATAGCCGTTGCAAGAAGACCCCAAAGAGGCAGCGAAACGGTGCCGTTTTCTGACCATAAAAAACAAAAAAAAAATTACCACAATCGCGGGCCGGCTCGCTGAATACCGCGAGTCGGCCCGCGAGCAAAATTGGGCCCACACGTTTTAGTTAGGGCCCTGTGCGCCCATTTGGCCTTTGGCTTGCGGAAATTGGGCTTCCATGAGCCTGCTGCGGATGCTCTAAACACAGAATTCTGCAGATTTCGTTCCTTTCTCTCTTCCTCAATAGTCATCTTCTTTTGGTTCAATTTTGAGGCTCTTGTGATAAGAATTTAAGGTTGCCATTTAGAGAAAGAGATATTTTCATTGATGTGATTTTGGAAGCCACTTTTTCATCACAGATTTTCTGTTATTGCCTTTACAGAAAGGAGTTAGTTGGTGTTGCACAAGGAAGCTTGTTCCTCATCTTCCTTTGATGTTAGTGATTTTGATCATTTCATGGGTGATTTGGGCTTGGTTATAGCAAGGTTTTTGTCATCCTTGAGGTAGGATTGCCCTAAACCTCAAACCCTTTATTGTTACTGAATTATGCTTCTTGATTTGGACTGCAAATGACCCAAAAAACTAAAACTAAGAATCATTTCTCGAGCACAGCACCCAGTGATGCGACCCCGAGCATGTACACAAAATGATGTACAACACTTTTGAGTTTAGAAATTAGTGTCAAGTGGGCATTATACTTTAAATTTATAAACCGCTTAACACCTATACTATGTAGTATGAGTGAGAAGGGATCGTTCCAAGAGATTATATGTGTTGAAATTTAACTTTGACTTTAATGTATCAAAAGATTGCAAAGGAAGGTTTGATTGTTGATTAAACTAAGATTCAATTAATTAAAATGCAAGTAAAATAAAACTAAGTTGAGATAAGGATTTAAGAGATGAGGAGTGAGGTCTTGGGACATAGGAATCGCCACCAAGTTCGTTCACCAAACCACACACTTTCAATTAATTGGGGAAAATATTCTTGTAATTTAAATGTGACTACCAATTGCAATATTAAGCATGGACCATTAAATTCAAGTATGAATTACCTACCTAACTAACAATTAAATTAAGTGTAAAACAACCCATCAATCCTAAGCATGACTCATCAAATTAGTAACAACTATAATTTATAGCACACATCAAACTAGAAAATCATGGAGTTTGCAACAATAAGCCATGGAATATCAAATCAGGTATAGATTGTCTACCTAACTACAAACATGAATTAAATTGTAGAACAACCAATTAAATATAAGTATAACCCATCAAATTAATTAATAAATCCATTCAATGAAAACCATGCATAGCCATCACTAGATTCTCAATTAACCACACATAGATATGCAATTAATATAGAAAAATTAGTGTAGAGATCAATTCCCAAATAATCAC